AAACTAGAATTTTGCATTATAGATCTCAAATGAGTGATTCGTGCCCGAATCACAAAGAATTAGTTATTGGGTTCGGATCCGAGAATTTTGGTTGAGCGGATCCGGGTCCGGGTACAAAGAAATTTAATCGATCGGGTCCGGGTCCGGTCCGGGTTTGAATAAATTTTTATCATCGGATCCGGGTCCAAAAATCATGGACCCGATGGGCTCTAATCGACATGCATGCGTTCTTCTTTCATATATTCGTACTTGTTTTGAAAGATTTTATGACGGTGTACACTTTTAAAACATATTTTAAAAACCAAAGGGGTTTCGTTCCAAACCTGGAAAGGGTTTAATTAAAACATGAACATTCTTAAGCTAATTGACATACTGATTTCATCATGTTTAACCCGGCTTTCTCTTCGGGAACATGATGCAATCAAAGTGAATCATTCATCACTTCATACCACTTTCAGAAATAAGTGGCTTGTATAACAGACACTGCTGCAGGATTTTACTTAGTTTTGTTTTGTGTGCAGCAGGTAAAATTATTTTCTTTTTTGTTCTTTGATTCTGTTGGACTTCTGTTGGATGATTCTGTAGCCAATAAAAGAAGCCAATACGGCTTTTAGTTCGTGCTAATTTATTTGTGTTATAAACAAACCATGAATAGAGATTTTTTGCACTTCAATCATTATGCAGGGTATAGGAAAGAACAGCGAAGTTGATATTTGCAGTTCGTCTGCAAAGATCAAGTTCGTGTGTTCGATCCTAGCTTCGTGCAACGATTGGCTTTGTGTTTTGATAGTTTAAGTTTTAGAGTGCTATAATGGGAATTTATATTCTCGATTTCGTTCTAGATAAAAGACAAGTGAATGGAAGAATCAGCAAAGACGTTCATAATCTTTTTTATCAATCGGAAAAATTTAATATGAAGAATTATGAAGATGATGCACATGACAATACAACATTAAAAAATGATGAAAATGACGATTGTTTTAATGGTTCACCCGCACTGTATCAAGAAAGTAAATTTACGGTTGCAGAAATTGTGAATATATCAGTAGAATTTTTTACAACTATTAATTTGGACAACTTAAATGTTATTTGTTTAAAGAAAATAATAAAATCAGTTTTATCACAACCAAATTTATTACCAACTACATAGAAGGCAATATTAAAATCGTTTGGCAGAACCAACATGTCAACAACGAAGTATTCATCAACCATGTTTAAAAACGAGATATGGTTCAAAAAAATATGGTATTAATAATTGTCTTCGTTCCAATTCAACATTAAAAACAAGTGGAATTCTTGAAATAGTTATTCTTGATAGTCGTTCTCAATTAAAGTCCATTATTCGTCGAAATATAAATTTCTTAATTAGGAATGAATAATTATCCCATAAAAGTGATATTACTTATTGTTCATATTATCAAACAACAACTGCAACAAAAGAAAATACAATAACATTTGTTCTTCACACGGATGGAGCACCGTTAGTTCGATCAATAAAACAGTCACTCGGGCCTTGTTCTGCATCGATCGTCCAAATTCCATCACCAGTCCTCCAATATCAATCAAATATTATGTTGTTGTCGTTATGGTCATCGAAAAAGAAACCAGATGTTAATATTTTCTTAGGAGAAACGATAAAAGAAATTAAATATTTAACAACAAACGGCACAAGAATATACGTCAATGATCATGAATATAATGTTATCGTATGTACTCAATTTTTCATATCTGATTTATCAGCACGTGCTGTATTTATGAAAACAATTAGTTATAATAGTTATTTAGCTTGTAGTTATTGTTGTACAAAAGGTAAACATGTTGTTTTCTTTTAAATGATTAAATGTGTAAACAATTCAAGTGAAAGTAGATGTCTACTTTGTTTCGTTCATCGAGTCCAGATCATGGAATGGTCTCACATCCATATGATGAAAACAATTATACTAAACATTTCCTTGATCAGTTTGTTGAGGCTACAAAAGAATCTGATGTAAAATCAACTACAGGCCGATCAGCGGTGGTCTGAGGTGTTAAAGGTTTATCTTGTTTACTAGAATTATTTTCATATCCAAAACGATTGGTATTTGACTGTATACATCTTGTTGTTTGGGCCATGTACCATCATTAATAAGACGGTAGTGCAATATCATTGATAAACAAACTATTATAAAAACTGATGAAATTTTAACACAAATACGTATACCACATAATATAAAAGTGGTTTTTATTGATTCAATTATAGCCGTCAATGATTGGAAAGCCAAGCATTCAAGATTATTTATTTTGCATGTTGGTGCTCCCATCGCTGTTAGCTGTTTATCAACATTAAATGCGTTCCATTTTGTTATTTACTGTATGATCATTAAAATATTGCATGCACCACAGTCAGATGAAGAAATAGATTTTGCTGAAAAATAAATTCATTACTATTGTGAACCATCACCGTTAGTTGATGATCAATCAATCGAACTTTTCTTGTTGCATGCTCATCTACACCTTGCAACACAGACAAGGATTCATCGTGGATTAGCATTTTCATCTGCATTTACATTCAAATTTTATACTAGGTTATTATAAAAAGAAAGTTCATAGTACAAACTGATTAGCTAGCCGAATTGCATATGTTACGAAGCGTAGAAAGCCCCATTCATGTACTCTGGAAATTCTTATTCTCGGGCGTAATGTCCTCGCTTTCTGTTGTAAATATGTTGTGTTAATAAAACATGACAACATAATTCATTGTTGGCACTGACACAAAGAAAGAAACAAGTTACGTATAAAACGCTGCGTAGCACATATTGGCACGATGTAGCAACTATGGTTAAAACAACAAAATTTGAAATCCCGTTGGCTATTGGTGTTAGTGATCTAGGAATCAATAATGTATCTATTGATCTATATCGTTTAATATTAACAAACCTGGTTGGTGACAAAAATCAAGACATAAATGATGTTACATTGTACAGATGGTATAAAGAGGCATTTATTACATATCATACAGCGTTATGTGAAGAATCATTTAATTGTATTAGTTATATTATTTCATTCTAGTGTGATCGATATGGAAATATTTTACTATTTTATAAATATAATAATGAATACTTTGCTTTTATACAACGATATCAAATATCCAAGAAAAGACTTTCACAATTTGTATTAATACCACAACAAATGACAAATAAATCGGATGAATTATATCCATTATTAACGTTAACAAAAACTTTAATAATATCAATTAAAAATATTCTCTATAAATGTATTCCTGTACCATTTGAAGATGTTCTATATATATCAGAGATTAGAGTAGACCATGAACATGCTTAATTGTGTACTTTTAAGAAGGGCGTTTCGTGTAAAAATTACAAGGTAACGCTCGGTGCCTTGACTTTAGGAACTAATATCTGTGAATGACTTTTCATGACTTTTTTCTGTTATCAAAACTGACTGATTTCTGGTGATATCTACCACCCAACTACACAAAAAGTTGGCTAAGTTTTTCTTGCCTCTGCATCAGTAAATACTATTTCAGTCATCTCTTTGAATATTTTCTATCTCGTGTAAAAAATAATCTTGTATTTCTCTCTCTTGTGACTGGCGTATCCATGGAATATGTAACAGCCATTTTTCCGTATTTTGCGCGCACACAGACAACAGTCTATCGGCCAACCATAAAACAAAATGGAAGATAGAATGAATCGGGCGAAGTTCACGTCAGTGGTGGGCGGGCCATGCCTTCCTCCGGCTCGCACTCGCCACAGCTCGCCAGATAGCGACTATTAGCTCGGTTCGGCTGGACAGTAATATTATAAAATCAGATCGCAGAGCTACGATCCAGCTCGTAGAGCCACGGCTCGCGTGCAATTAACGAGCCGGGTATGTAAGCCTTTTTTGAAACATGGACAGTATCACGTATCACACATGAACTTTGAATTCCATTGATTCTCATTATAATCAGAGATGTCTACAGGAGCGATTTTTAAGCAAAATTTTAGCCATATTGTTGATGATCATGAACACTTTTTGTCAAAATCAACTATATTAAATCAGTCTTGCTTAAGTCAATATTCGTCGATGCTTTCCAATATTGTGTGTCTATTCCCTTTAAAACGCTGTTAACGCTTGTTAATAGCTGTTCTATCCAAAGCAGAGTTGCTAGAGTGAGAGGGTTTACAAGTCACAAGTCAAACTTACTCACTAGAAAAATTTTCAAGTTAAGTCAAGGTGAGAAAATGTTTTCCTCCAAGTCAAGTCCGGTTGGGAAATAGACAGCACATAAAATTGCTAACGCCTTTTGAGTGAGAGACAGTTTTATCGTTTAGAATAGAAACTCTGTTTCATGGTAGAAAAAGCCTAATTTACACGAAAATCTTACTAGAAATTACTTTACTTGTAAATTCTTCAAGTACAGCCATGGTGACGAAAAAAATTTTCCATCAATCAGACTCAGACTTGACTTGACATGGACTTGAGACATTTTTGACTTGATTTTTTCAGTTCTAATCCAAAGATAGCTTAAGGGGTGGTCCATCCCTCGAAGAATCGGTTGAAATTCTTCTCTAGATTTGGCAAATGAAATTGCTACATCTCGATTTTTACTTGTCGATAAAAATGAATTCATTGAAATAAATTCTCCAATACTGGCTAATAATGTTTTAAGCCCATCTTTTCCTACTGCCTGACAACGATACACTTGAAATTTTTTCTTGGAACACTTTTTTTGTGTTTTTTTGAGCTGATTGAAAATATCAGTAATTAGGAAACGAAATGCAAACAGCATATTGATATCTCGAACACAGAGCGCCTTGTTAAGCAATTTATATATATAACACTCTCGTGTATACCACCAAATAGCTTTCGGTGGAACATATGTATCGTTTAGTTCAGTGATTTTGACGAGTTCAGCATTATTATCTACGTAAATTTCCTTACAAAGTTTAACGAGTTCGTCTTTTGTCACTTCTTTTATGTGTGGCATACGAAGTAACACTTCGATGAATAATTGGAACCACATAAAAATGCCATTTTCGGATTTTAAATTTGTATGTGTCTTTTCTGTTCCAGTAAAAACACTCATTGCCACTGCATTTTCAATTTTTTCACGTTTTAATTGATCATCCGATAGTTTCGCAAATAGTTCATTCCATTGGGTGATTACTGTCATTATCTAAATCATTAGGAAAACACATTGACAAAAGAATCTTACTAGTCACTCATATATGACAGAATAATTCATACGAGATCAACGATCATCGTTTTACCTAAACAGTCAGGAGCTTTCAATTTATTACATGAATAATTTTCGAAATCTCCTGATCGTTCGACTAACAAATGATTATCATTGATCTAGTACGAATTATTCTGCCATGTGTCGATTGCATAACAACGAACAACGCTGAAGTATCCTATACGTATCTATCTCAGGAATAGGATCGTAGACCGAAAGGTAAATGACAAATTTTTACAATAACGCCTAAGATTATTTTAAACGAAATCTTTACTAAAATCCAAAGGAACGGGTGGAAACAATTCTATTTGCCTAATCTAATATTTTTGTCAGTTAGTTGCTATTTTTGTGAACCAATCTAATGTTATGTCGATTTGGCTGTTTGCTATTAATGCAGTACGTGCCATTACTCAAGAACAAACTGAGTTGTTTAAGAAGTTTTTTTCGACACGGTGCATTTAAAACGCTATGAACAGAGAGGATGAGTCAACCACTAATAATACAGGATAAGTTTCAGATAGAAATGATAAATCAATATAAATAGACCTAAGAAAAAACTGCTCTTGGAAATTTATTTAAACATAGAGTCGATCCTAGCAGGCTTTTATCCGATTTTTTCTTCGCATAGTGCTGTTGAATCCTTAAACTGTTGACCGTTTTGAAAAGTGAGAANGCCAAAGTTCATCGTTTGTCTGATTCATACAGCTTCTCACTTTTCAAAACGGTCAACAGTTTAAGGATTCAACAGCACTATGCGAAGAAAAAATCGGATAAAAGCCTGCGTTCAAGGCAGAAAAGATGAATCTCTTTGTCGGAAACTGCACAACTTTCAATCACCTTATCTTACTGCTACAATCAACCGAATCTTAAGCATAAACAAATTGGAAAGGAATGCGTTTATTGTTCTACCCATCAAATTGCACTGGATTGGCGATTTAGCCTAACCAACAAATATAATCTTTACCT